ATATATACCTTGACACCCTGTGTACCCCACTGTTACATATACCCCGACACCCTGTATACCCCACTGTTACATATACCCCGTCACCCTGTATACCCCACTGTTACATATACCCCGACACCCAGTATCCCCCACTGTTACATATACCCCGTCACCCTGTATACCCCACTGTTACATATACCCCGTCACCCTGTATACCCCACTGTTACATATACCCCGACACCCAGTATCCCCCACTGTTACATATACCCCGTCACCCTGTATACCCCACTGTTACATATACCCCGTCACCCTGTATACCCCACTGTTACATATACCCCAACACCCTTTGTACCCACTGTAATATATATATACCCGGACACCCTGTGTACCTTACTGTAACGTATACCTCGACACCCAGTGTACCCCACTCTAATATATACCCCGACACCCTATGTACACCCCTGTAATATATACCCCGACACCCTGTATACCACACTGTTACATATACCCCGACACCCTGTGTACCCCACTGTAATATATACCCCGACACCCTGAGTACCCCACTGTAATATATACCCCGATACCCTGAATACCCCACTGTTACGTAAACCCCGTCACCCAGTATCCCCCACTGTAAGATACACCCCGACACCCTGTATACCCCACTGTTACATATACCCCGTCACCCTGTATACCCCACTGTTACATATACCCCGTCAGCCTATGTACCTCACTGTTATATATACCCCGTCACCCAGTATCCCCCACTGTAAGATACACCCCGACACCCTGTATACCCCACTGTTACATATACCCCGACACCCTGTATACCCTACTGTTACATAAACCCCGACACCCTGTATACCCCACTGTTATATATACCCCGTCACCCAGTATCCCCCACTGTTACATATACCCCGTCACCCTGTATACCCCACTGTTACATATACCCCGACACCCTGTATACCCCACTGTTACATATACCCCGACACCCTGTATACCCCACTGTTATATATACCCCGTCACCCAGTATCCCCCACTGTAAGATACATCCCGACACCCTGTATACCCCACTGTTACATATACCCCGACACCCTGTATACCCTACTGTTACATAAACCCCGACACCCTGTATACCCCACTGTTATATATACCCCGTCACCCAGTATCCCCCACTGTTACATATACCCCGTCACCCTGTATACCCCACTGTTACATATACCCCGACACCCTGTATACCCCACTGTTACATAAACCCCGACACCCTGTATACCCCACTGTTACATATACCCCGTCACCCAGTATCCCCCACTGTTACATATACCCCGTCACCCTGTATACCCCACTGTTACATATACCCCGACACCCTGTATACCCCACTGTTACATAAACCCCGACACCCTGTATACCCCACTGTTACATAAACCCCGACACCCTGTATACCCCACTGTTATATATACCCCGTCACCCAGTATCCCCCACTGTTACATATACCCCGTCACCCAGTATCCCCCACTGTTACATATACCCCGTCACCCTGTATACCCCACTGTTACATATACCCCGACACCCTGTATACCCCACTGTTACATATACCCCGACACCCTGTATACCCCACTGTTACATAAACCCCGACACCCTGTATACCCCACTGTTATATATACCCCGTCACCCAGTATCCCCCACTGTAAGATACACCCCGACACCCTGTATACCCCACTGTTACATATACCCCGACACCCTGTATACCCCACTGTTACATATACCCCAACACCCTGTATACCCCACTGTTACATATACCCCGTCACCCAGTATCCCCCACTGTTACATATACCCCGTCAGCCTATGTACCTCACTGTAATATATACCCCGACACCCTGTATACCCCACTGTTACATATACCCCGTCACCCAGTATCCCCGACTGTAATATATACCCCGACACCCTGAGTATCCCACTGTAATATATACCCCGATACCCTGAATACCCCACTGTTACGTAAACCCCGTCACCCAGTATCCCCCACTGTAAGATACACCCCGACACCCTATATACCCCACTGTTACATATACCCCGTCACCCTGAGTACCCCACTGTAATATATACCCCGACACCCTGTATACCCCACTCTTACATATACCCCGTCACCCTGAGTACCCCACTGAAATATATACCCCGACACCCTGTATACCCCACTGTTACATATACCCCGTCACCCGGTGTACCCCACTGTAAAATATATGGTGTCCCCCGCCCTGTTATTGCTGGAATATTGCTAAAAGCGGCGTAAAACCATACTTTCTCACTCACTCAATGTAATATATACCCCGACACCCTGTATACCCCACTGTTACATATACCCCGTCACCCTGTATACCCCAATATTACATATACCCCGTCAGACTGTGTACCCCACTATAATATATACCCCGACACCCTGTACACCCCATTGTACCCATGTGGGGAATCGAACCCAGGTCTTCAGCGTGACGAGTAAACATGCTATAACATTCATCCCGACAGTCATTGGGCTGTATTATAAGTCACAAATATCCTGCACATTGTCCCCTGCGATTACGTACACCCGACAACCCTTGTAACCTGCTATACCACATTCTCCTATACAAATTGGCCCCTGTTTTAAATTCACCACCGACAGCCGTAGGGCACCACGCCCACTGACCCCTGCTATAATCCCCGAAATTCAAATGGCCCTAAGAAATATCTATACACACATTGAAACCAGCCTTATAAAACAACAGCGGGGCCTCTTGCACGCGCCTGGACTCCGCTCTAACAGAACACCCGCCTGTCCCTGCTATAAAACTATCTCTGACTGCAACTGCCAAAAAAATGCGCAACGAGAACAGTTTGACCCTCTCCATTATATACCCAAACACCAACACACCATTCACCCAAATATTTCTCCATTTCTCCAGTCCTGCTTGACAACGGTTTAAGGATCCATACCAAAACGTAGCTTTTTTACAGTAATTAAAGAAGTTGTCTATAAATTGTGTCTACTTTGTCACCAAATAAGGATTTATAAAATATAACCTTTGTTTACATATTTCAGCGAAACTAATCAATGTATAAACACAATAGCAGTGACAGACATTTGTATGGAAGCCCTATTCAGTGGGACGTATCTGCGTGTCATAATGTTCACCTCTCCCCTGTTACGTGCTCTAATACAACCGTCTGTTATGATAAAAAGACGGCCAATGGCTGAACACACTATGCTTACAAAACCAGTTGTAAAGAATACTATTTATAAAACAGAGATCTTATCCTGGAACTGTCTCCGGGTGCGCGTTCTGACATTGAAGGAATGTGTAGCTACCGTAAATAACACAATAACACTCTTATCAGTGAACAGTGAGTGAGTGAGTGAGTTGGGTTTAACGCCGCTTTTTTAACAGTATTCCAGTTATATCGCGGCGTGTCAGCTTAATGTGGGAGGAAAGCCAGAAGTGATGCAGGTCTCCGACGTTTACCACTTTGGTGAAACCCACGAGCACGGGTATGGTGCTGACAAACCTAGAAACATAATCGGGGCGAACCGGGATTCGAACCCACAATTATAGGTTTCTGGCGTACCCAAGGGACGCAACTCTGCACAGCGAATCGCGGCGCCTTAGACGACTGGGCGACACGTGTCCCCTATCAGTGAACAGAAATAGAATGCAAGCGTTTACGCAATACATACTTAGTATATTTTGTATGCACATTGTGTGAATGGCAGGTGAGTGAGTGAGTGAGTGAGTTGGGTTTAACGCCGCTTTTAACAGTATTCCAGTTATATCGCGGCGTGTCAGCTTATTGTGGGAGGAAAGCCCGAAGTGAAGCAGGTCTCTGACGTTTACCACTTCGGTGAAACCTACAAGCACGGGTATGGTGCTGACAAACCTAGAAACATAATCGGGGCGAACAGGGGATTCGAACCCACAATCATAGGTTTCTGGCGTACCCAAGGGACGCACTCTGCACAGCGAATCGCGGCGCCTTAGACGACTGGGCCACCCGTGCCCCCTATCAGTGAACAGAAATAGAATGCAAGCGTTTACGCAATACATACTTAGTATATTTTGTATGCACATTGTGTGAATGGCAGGTGAGTGAGTGAGTGAGTGAGTTGGGTTTAACGCCGCTTTTAACAGTATTCCAGTTATATCACGGCGTGTCAGCTTATTGTGGGAGGAAAGCCCGAAGTGATGCAGGTCTTTGACGTTTACCACTTCGGTGAAACCTACAAACACGGGTATGGTGCTGACAAACCTAGAAACATAATCGGGGCGATCAGGGGATTCGAACCCACAATCATAGGTTTCTGGCGTACCCAAGGGACGCAACTCTGCACAGCGAATCGCGGCGCCTTAGAGTGGTTCATGCAAATAATTTTCACAGTTATTTTGCCCTTTACGCCAAATGGAATCTATTTCGTGACTGGTTCTTCTCTTTCATTGACAATTACTATTTAGTGAGGGTGTGTGTAAATGTTGTTAAACGCCGCAGACATTGCCGGAATATTGTTAAAGCCGGCATAAAACCATATTTAATCACCAACAAGTTGCATATCTACAGAGTTAAACCTTTTCTGAAATATGAGTGAATTTAGTTTGAAGCCGCAGTCTGACTGATACTAAGGTACAATCCACACCATATATACACGATATACATTCAGACAAATCACCACCCACGACCATTCTTCTTCAGTCAGTTCATACGCAAACAAGGGACACTTACTCTCCACCGGAATCGGGGCGGTGGGGTAGCCTAGTGGTTAAAGCGTTTGCTCGTCACTGCGAACACCAGGGTTTGATTCCCCACATGGGAAATGTGTGAAGCCAATTTCTGGTGTGCTCCGCCGTGATATCGCTGGGATATTACTAAAAGCGGCGTAAAACCATACTCACTCTTCCCCGGAACCCACTAGGCTTTGAAATGTTGAGGGCTTTTTTCGGAGACACCTCACTATTTGTTCGAGGTAAGACGGTAGTGTAAAGTGTTGTGTAACTTGTCTGCTATTATAGTCCACGTTATACAATATCGCTTCTGCCACTGACATTTTGGTTTGTGTATTGAGGTCCACATTGAAGAGAGTACAATATATGCGACGGAAGTATGGCTACCCTGCTGTAAAACGGACCTTGCAGCTGTGCATGTTCAAGTTGGGGAGGCATAATTCGGGTTATCGGCGTTGTCATTGTCAAGACACAGCCACTGTCTTGTCGTGACGTGGTAGCGTTATTGACTTACCACCACAATACAACAACGTAATCAGCGCACCGGCAGCGATCAGCCATGTCGTCCAGCAAACAACCACTCAGCCCCCAAACCGTGCCGTGCAGATCCCCACGGGTAAAATCTTTAGATGTATATTTTCTTGACCCGTGTAAAATCATAGCCATATTACATGTTCATTCTAAGCTAAAAATGAACTTTACACAATACATGCTCGGATCAATTTTGGGGCTGCTCACGGTTCTTAAGTTAAACACTACTCAACATAATCATTACTTGTTGCGTCTCTGTTTTATACTGTGTCCTTATACATCATCTGCACGTGCAGAGGCCCGGCCTACATGTAGATCAACCAGAGCTAGATGAACCAGAAGAATTCTTCATAAAGTCCTCTGTAGGTCAGCAGGTCATCGTGAACTACCAGGATACAGATACGTGTGTGAGAGGTAAGCTCAGATGGGAATGGTAAACGTAAATGTGGCAAGAAGACAGACGTGAAGACAGAGACAAACGCGTAGACAGAAAGACAGACAAATAGGCACACCTGTAGGCAGTCATATAGCTTCAGGCGTGTAGGCAGACGGGTAGACATGTAGATAGACAAGTAGGGGCATGAAGATAGACAAGTAGGCATGAAGATAGACAAGCAGGCATGAAGATAGACAAGTAGGCATGAAGATAGGCAAGCATGCATGAAGATAGGCAAGCAGGCATGAAGATAGACAAGCAGGCATGGAGATAGACAAGCAGGCATGAAGATAGGTAAGCAGGCATGAAGATAGACAAGTAGGCATGAAGATAGACAAGCATGCATGAAGATAGGCAAGCAGGCATGAAGATAGACAAGAAGGCATGAAGATAGGCAAGCAGTCATGAAGATAGGCAAGCAGGCATGAAGATAGACAAGCAGGCATGCAGATAGACAAGCAGGCATGAAGATAGACAAGTAGGCATGAAGATAGGCAAGCAGGCATGAAGATAGGCAAGCAGGCATGACGATAGACAAGCAGGCATGAAGAAAGGCAATCAGGCATGAAGATAGACAGGGAGACGTGTAGGCTGACAGGTAGACATGTAGATAGACATGCAGACACAGGTAGACATGTAGAGACACAGATAGACATGTAGATACACAAGTAGTCGTGTAGATACACAGGTAGACATGTAGTTGCACAAGTAGACATGTGGATATACTGGTAGTCGTGTAGATACACAGGTAGACATGTAGATACACAAGTAGTCATGCAGATACACATGTAGACATGTATCTACACAGGTAGACATGTAGAGACACAGGTAGACATGTAGATGCACAGGTAGACGTGTAGATACACAGGTAGACATGTAGATACACAGGTAGACATGTAGATGCACATATATACATGGAGGTACACAGGGAGTCGTGTAGATACACAGGTAGACATGTAGATACACAAGTAGTCATGTAGATACACAGGTAGACATGTAGAGACACAGGTAGACATTTAGATGTACAGGTAGACATGTAGAGACACAGGTAGACATGTAGATGCACAGGTAGACATGTAGATACACAGGTCGACATGTAGATACACAGGTAGACATGAAGATACACAGGTAGACATGTAGATGCACAGGTAGACATGTAGATGCACAGGTAGACATGTAGAGACACAAGTAGTCATGTAAATACACAGGTAGTCATGTAGATACACAGATAGACATGTAGATACACAGGTAGACATGTAGATACACAAGTAGACATGTAGATACACAGGTAGACATGTAGATACACAAGTAGACATGTAGATACACAAGTAGACATGTAGATACACAGGTAGACATGTAGATGCACAGATATACATGCAGATACACAGGGAGTCGTGTAGATACACAGGTAGACGTGTAGATACACAGGTAGACATGTAGATACACAGGTAGACATGTAGATGCACATATATACATGGAGGTACACAGGGAGTCGTGTAGATACACAGGTAGACATGTAGATACACAAGTAGTCATGTAGATACACAGGTAGACATGTAGAGACACAGGTAGACATTTAGATGTACAGGTAGACATGTAGAGACACAGGTAGACATGTAGATGCACAGGTAGACATGTAGATACACAGGTCGACATGTAGATACACAGGTAGACATGAAGATACACAGGTAGACATGTAGATGCACAGGTAGACATGTAGATGCACAGGTAGACATGTAGAGACACAAGTAGTCATGTAAATACACAGGTAGTCATGTAGATACACAGATAGACATGTAGATACACAGGTAGACATGTAGATACACAAGTAGACATGTAGATACACAGGTAGACATGTAGATACACAAGTAGACATGTAGATACACAAGTAGACATGTAGATACACAAGTAGACATGTAGATACACAAGTAGACATGCAGACACAGGTAGACATGTAGATACACAAGTAGACATGTAGATACACAGGTAATCGTGTAGATACACAGGTAGACATGTAGATGTACAGGTAGACATGTAGAGACACGGGTAGACATGTAGATACACAGGTAGACATGTAGATACATAGGTAGACATCTAGAGACACAGGTAGACATGTAGATAGACAGGTAGACATCTAGAGACACAGGTAGACGTGTAGATAGACAGGTAGACATCTAGAGACACAGGTAGACGTGTAGATAGACAGGTAGACATCTAGGGACACAGGTAGACATGTAGATAGACAGGTAGACATCTAGATAGACAGGTAGACATCTAGAGACACAGGTAGACATGTAGATAGACAGGTAGACATCTAGAGACACAGGTAGACATGTAGATAGACAGGTAGACATCTAGAGACACAGGTAGACATGTAGATAGACAGGTAGACATGTAGATAGACAGGTAGACATCTAGAGACACAGGTAGACATCTAGAGACACAGGTAGACATCTAGAGACACAGGTAGACATGTAGATAGACAGGTAGACATGTAGAGACACAGGTAGACATGTAGATAGACAGGTAGACATGTAGAGACACAGGTAGACATGTAGAGACACAGGTAGACATGTAGATAGACAGGTAGACATCTAGAGACACAGGTAGACATGTAGATAGACAGGTAGACATGAAGAGACACAGGTAGACATGTAGATAGACAGGTAGACATCTAGAGACACAGGTAGACATCTAGAGACACAGGTAGATATCTAGAGACACAGGTAGACATGTAGATAGACAGGTAGACATGTAGAGACACAGGTAGACATGTAGATAGACAGGTAGACATCTAGAGACACAGGTAGACATGAATGAATGAATGAATGAATGAATGATCTTTATTTCCTCCATTAATTTCGGAGAGTGATATACATTTGGAATCATGTTAACACAGCATATTTACACGAACATTATATTATGCAGAGAAATTGGCAATACTGAATATTTACATGTACTGGTCCTGGTATGAGATATACTGTCTATAGATAGAGCAGTGATCGCAGGTTCCAGGAGCTTATGTCTCGTGATACAGAAGATATGAATTCAGCCCATCTGTCAAGGCTCATACCCTCTACAATAGGGGTTATACCACCTAGCAATGTCACAAGTTTGACTTCGTCATCTGCACAGTCCTCAATACGCATGTATTGTTCGAGGTTTAAAGAGTCAAATAGATGTTCATAGAGGGTGTTCCTTGCATCAGCTAAAGCTGTACAACATAGCAGTTGGTGCTTTATTATGTCATCGCACTCCTCATCACACATTAAACACTGTCCAGGTGTTATTGGTAGTGTTCCTAGTTTCACAAGTGCATACATTGGTCTAGTTGGTATATTGTACAGAATACACATATTCCACAGTCTATGAGGTACAAGCTTACTGTGAATTTTAATAAATCTGTTTAATTCAGGGTGATCTCGCAGACTCGTGTGCCAATGAGCAGTTTCATGTTCTGTTATTTTCGTCTGTACGGTTTTGTTCCACACATCCTTGGATTGAAACTGGTTAGTTTTCATAAAGTGAACTATTATGGTCCATAATTCATATTTCTTTGCCACATTGAGTAGATCATGTGTTACAGACTTACTTTTGTCACTGCCTGTTATGTATTGAGCACACTTGAAATAGAACACCTTTTTCGGGGCATATCTGTGGCTGCTTCTACACATCCTCCCAAGGAACATCAGCTTCATTTTGTCAATCACGGATGTAGATATGTAGATAGACAGGTAGACATCTAGAGACACAGGTAGACATGTAGATAGACAGGTAGACATGTAGATAGACAGGCAGGCGTGTAGGCTGACAGGTAGACATGTAGAGACACAGGTAGACATGTAGAGACACAGGTAGTCATGTAGATAGACAGGTAGACATGTAGATGCACAGGTAGACATGTAGAGACACAGGTAGACATGTAGATACACAGGTAGACATGTAGATAGACAGGTAGACATGTAGAGACACAGGTAGACATGTAGATACACAGGTAGACATGTAGAGACACAGGTAGACATGTAGATACACAGGTAGACATGTAGATACACAGGTAATCGTGTAGATACACAGGTAGACATGTAGATGTACAGGTAGACATGTAGAGACACGGGTAGACATGTAGATACACAGGTAGACATGTAGATACATAGGTAGACATCTAGAGACACAGGTAGACATGTAGATAGACAGGTAGACATCTAGAGACACAGGTAGACGTGTAGATAGACAGGTAGACATCTAGAGACACAGGTAGACGTGTAGATAGACAGGTAGACATCTAGGGACACAGGTAGACATGTAGATAGACAGGTAGACATCTAGATAGACAGGTAGACATCTAGAGACACAGGTAGACATGTAGATAGACAGGTAGACATCTAGAGACACAGGTAGACATGTAGATAGACAGGTAGACATCTAGAGACACAGGTAGACATGTAGATAGACAGGTAGACATGTAGATAGACAGGTAGACATCTAGAGACACAGGTAGACATCTAGAGACACAGGTAGACATCTAGAGACACAGGTAGACATGTAGATAGACAGGTAGACATGTAGAGACACAGGTAGACATGTAGATAGACAGGTAGACATGTAGAGACACAGGTAGACATGTAGAGACACAGGTAGACATGTAGATAGACAGGTAGACATCTAGAGACACAGGTAGACATGTAGATAGACAGGTAGACATGAAGAGACACAGGTAGACATGTAGATAGACAGGTAGACATCTAGAGACACAGGTAGACATCTAGAGACACAGGTAGATATCTAGAGACACAGGTAGACATGTAGATAGACAGGTAGACATGTAGAGACACAGGTAGACATGTAGATAGACAGGTAGACATCTAGAGACACAGGTAGACATGAATGAATGAATGAATGAATGAATGATCTTTATTTCCTCCATTAATTTCGGAGAGTGATATACATTTGGAATCATGTTAACACAGCATATTTACACGAACATTATATTATGCAGAGAAATTGGCAATACTGAATATTTACATGTACTGGTCCTGGTATGAGATATACTGTCTATAGATAGAGCAGTGATCGCAGGTTCCAGGAGCTTATGTCTCGTGATACAGAAGATATGAATTCAGCCCATCTGTCAAGGCTCATACCCTCTACAATAGGGGTTATACCACCTAGCAATGTCACAAGTTTGACTTCGTCATCTGCACAGTCCTCAATACGCATGTATTGTTCGAGGTTTAAAGAGTCAAATAGATGTTCATAGAGGGTGTTCCTTGCATCAGCTAAAGCTGTACAACATAGCAGTTGGTGCTTTATTATGTCATCGCACTCCTCATCACACATTAAACACTGTCCAGGTGTTATTGGTAGTGTTCCTAGTTTCACAAGTGCATACATTGGTCTAGTTGGTATATTGTACAGAATACACATATTCCACAGTCTATGAGGTACAAGCTTACTGTGAATTTTAATAAATCTGTTTAATTCAGGGTGATCTCGCAGACTCGTGTGCCAATGAGCAGTTTCATGTTCTGTTATTTTCGTCTGTACGGTTTTGTTCCACACATCCTTGGATTGAAACTGGTTAGTTTTCATAAAGTGAACTATTATGGTCCATAATTCATATTTCTTTGCCACATTGAGTAGATCATGTGTTACAGACTTACTTTTGTCACTGCCTGTTATGTATTGAGCACACTTGAAATAGAACACCTTTTTCGGGGCATATCTGTGGCTGCTTCTACACATCCTCCCAAGGAACATCAGCTTCATTTTGTCAATCACGGATGTAGATATGTAGATAGACAGGTAGACATCTAGAGACACAGGTAGACATGTAGATAGACAGGTAGACATGTAGATAGACAGGCAGGCGTGTAGGCTGACAGGTAGACATGTAGAGACACAGGTAGACATGTAGAGACACAGGTAGTCATGTAGATAGACAGGTAGACATGTAGATGCACAGGTAGACATGTAGAGACACAGGTAGACATGTAGATACACAGGTAGACATGTAGATAGACAGGTAGACATGTAGAGACACAGGTAGACATGTAGATACACAGGTAGACATGTAGAGACACAGGTAGACATGTAGAGACACAGGTAGACATGTAGAGACACAGGTAGACATGTAGATACACAGGTAGACATGTAGAGACACAGGTAGACATTTAGAGACACAGGTAGACGTGTAGAGACACAGGTAGACGTGTAGAAAACATAACAAAGCTTCACCTTCGTTTGAATCAAAGCGAAGAAGTATTGTTGTACGCCGTCCCAGTTAGCAGCATAAAGAATACATTCGTTATATGTTCATGTATTAGGGTTTATATTTGCGATGTATGTTTATGGAAGAAGTTGTCTGTTATCATATATTTTAAGTTTACCTTAGTAGTGTGTGTTCATGGCCCCTCGTAACCCACAGGGGGATTCTTGTTCATTTCTATATGTTTTTAAAGTGGCACCATAATACACCCTCCCTCTCTCTCTCCCTCTGCTACCCTCCGTTTCTCTCCCTCTCTCCCCCCCTCTCTCTCTCTCTCTCTCTCTCTCTCCTTCTCTCTTGTCTGTGTAAGTGTTCATGTGTTATTTCAGGGCATGCCCCCGGATACAGAACCACTCCTGTTGAGGTAGTCGAGGGGATGTCTATGACGGGTGACCTTCGGAAGTGTGTTCCGGGGACACAGCACCTGCCAGTAAATGGGGCTATTCCGTACCCTTCCCTCCACGTACGTACCTCAGTCTGCGGTCTTCTCAGTTTTGCATCAAAACTCCGAAATTCTGATTCCACTTATCTGTTTTCGTATAAGATCAAACGCCCATCTCCATGGAAACAAAATACACACCTAAATGAAATACGACTACAACATGCATGCGCACCACTATCGATTCCAATTCTACAACAAAAACAGTCGGCGCTTTTGTGGCGTTACCATCTTCTTTACCCAAAATTACAACGATTGTTTACCAGGGACAGAAATCTTAGGACTAAATGACGCAAAAACTACCCAGAGTTATTTTCCCTTCTTCGATTTTTTTTATGAAATGGTAAATTTGTTATTTTGTACCAACCTCGGATGATGTTTGTTCAGACGGACGAATGGGGTGATATAAAAAACAGTTTTAAAACTGAAAGGTTATTATATAGGATCAACAAGATATGTAAAACAAGATACAGATGATCTAATATTAAGTGGATGCTACACTGCGTTGTGTATCATGGTGTGCATGTGTTTCAGGTTGGTGATAAAGTTAGAGTACGTCAGTTCAATACTGAAACTGCCAAGGAGTTATTTCGGCCAGCAACGGTGCAGGCCCTTCCGCTGCGTCCGATGTCTAAGCACGCTTTTTTTAAAGTCAGTCTCGACGTCGTCCCAACAGATTTAGAGGTAAGGATACCTACGTAATATCAGAAACTCTCTACCGTCGTTAAGACCACACCACTGTTGTTGTTTGTAGTGTTGGTGAACATTAAGCGAAAAATATTCAGTGTTACTTAGAACATTATTTTATTAATTAATATCACGGCGTGTCAACTTTAGGCTGAAGGCAATGCACAGGCCTGGGGTCTGAGACGTTCACCACGTTAGGCAAACCTAAATCTAACACATTATCATGGCAAATCTGGGATTTGAACCCGTAATCATAGGTTTCTGGCACGCCTAAGGTGCGGTGGCCCATAAGGGACATGGAGTCCGTTTTTCAATATTTTGTTATTTCACTTACTTTTATCGTAACCCTTTGCAAATTAACACAATTTGCCATCCAAATATGTTATAAATCGTGTATAAAAACACCCGAAAACATGGAAAATGTACGTTCAAGTTACGGTGGCCCATAAGGGACATGGACTCACTCACTCATGTTATCGTAACCTTTTGCAAATTAACACGATTTGTCATACAAATATGTGATAAATCATGTACAAAGAAGATACTGAATCGCTGAAAAGTGAAGCCAAAATGTCAAAAATAAAATGAAAATTTCAAAAACAAAAACGAAAAAGTCAAAAACTAAAATGAAAATTCAAAAACAAAAACAAAAATGTCAAAAAAAAAGCGAAAAATGTCAAAAACTAAAATGAAAATACAGAAAACTATTTCCACCGCGGTGGGACGCAAGCAATATTCGATGACCTGCAAATAATCGAGTCTGGACCAAACAAACCAGTGATAGACATTATGTGCAACGCCCCTCGCGTCGGGGTACGATGACACGTCGTCAATCAAGTCAACGAGCATGACCAACCGATCAAATTAGTCGTCTCTCATGACAAGCAATGAAGTGCTGGGGACCTATGTTCTAACCCGGATCCCCACGGAGTACGTTCCTTATGAACATTATTCTATCTCTTGATCATAGTTGACAGCATAATTATCATCATTATAGACATCTGAAAAGTACCCAGTTTTGGTGTTCATTGACATTGATGGATGGAGGGCTAGCCCAGTCACGCCGAAAGCCCAGGTTCGATGGGAACAATGCGTGAAGCCCATTTCTGGTACTGTGATAGTGTTGAAATATAACTTAAGTGGCGTATACCCAAGACATTCACTCACTCATTCACTGAACTTGACCGTGGTCTACTGAACATACAATATACTGAAGTAGAAAATGCTATATACTTATACTTTTATTTCAAACAGATTGAAAGAAATTAATGGCCCATGCACAACCTCGACATTACTATGGAATACATGTTTGTGTTGCTTTCTTCAGTAATTTTCAAATGTTAGGAAATAAGCAGACAATCTCGTTTAAGCAACAGCATCGCTCCACAGAATCCAGTCAAATGGCACGATTATAAAATTGATTTATTTGACAACACAATAACATGGCCAGTTCGGAGGAGACCTGTGGTACTTCAAAAATCATGAAACTTGGTGAAGTGAATGTTAATCGCGGAAAGGTATATTGTGTTAATCGAAAAACGTTTTACTTATCATCAATACTACTCAAAAGAAGTTAACAGCTCCCGATTCTTTCATATTACTGCAGTAAATCTGTCATGAGAGAACTATGCTGGTTGTTAAGAAAGCGTCGCTGTAGGGAACACGTAACTGGCACATTCTTATTGACGGTACCGGGACTCCAAGATATAATAAGGGATTGGCACCTTTTGCTATGCAGCGGACATTGTATCTTCATGTACGTCATCTCCAGAGGTTTCTAGATCTGTCTCTTACTGATGCGTCCGAGGAGTGGTCTTTACACCATATCTTAGATAACCTAGAGTCAATAACCAGCGTGGTGGACCTTAACTGCTTCACGCATGACACCGACACGACCTGCCGCACCTTAGCGCCTCAGTCACCAATAGTAAGATATTTGATATTGATACAAGTGTTAGGATATAGCGTCATACCGCTTATGAACTAGAGGGAATAAGTGAGTGAGTGAGTTGGGTTTAACGCCGCTTTTAACAGTATTCCAGTCATATCGCGGCGTGTCAGCTTAATGTGGAAGGAAAGCCCGAAGTGAAGCAGGTCTCGGACGTTCATCACTTCGGTGAAACCCACGAGCACGGGTATGGTGCTGACAAACCTAGAAACATAATCGGGGCGAATTATGAACTAGAAGAAGCCAACGATAACTTTATTGTCCATGGTGCCGTTGTACGAAACAGGCTTACCGCTACGCCTGTCGTTATTCCATATTAAGGTATAGGAGTTAAGATCACCTTAGCGCAAAGGTCGTTTTGTACAACGTTACCCTGACCAATAGCGAAATTTAAAGGAAATAACGATCTTCAGAAGGCAATGCTACATGGTCTAGTGTACATGTTCTGTCTACTACCGGTCTAAACTGCAGGCCAAAAGAAAGTATACACCCATGTTTGATGGTGGCTAAAAATGAAACAAACTAGAAATGGTTACTCGATTGGGATGTATTTGATACCTGTATCATAGTTGTGGTTTGGAATTAATGTTTGCAGTGTTTCGGCGACTGTTTTCAGACTAGTAACGTTTAATCCAAAAGCCAGACCAGATATTGGTACCACCTGGGGTGGCAAAATCTCAGTATGATTTTTTGAAAGTCATGTATCCATAGATGAAAAAAACTTTGAAAGCAGTCCAGGGCGCACAGCTTAGTGGTAGTAATCACCACATAAATGGGGACCCCAGAGTCGAATCCACGGGACTAGATTTCAGGGTAGGGGAAACCAGAAAGTGGAATAACTTTACAAGCAATAGTCATATGGTGAAGTATGACCACTCAAAATGTTGGTAACCTGATGCTCTACATGTTGGTATGTAATATAGGACTAAAACAGTAAAAAAAGTAGGTCACCAGAGTTTTGATAACGTTTATAATTTTTTTGGTCAAATCCAATTTTCAAGTTTATATATTCTTTTGCCCGGCAGTTTTTGTTTGTAAGTGATACGTTATCACTACCGACACATCACATCGTTTAAACATAGGCACCGGACTTAAATAATTTTCCTTTGCCCAGCAATGTTTGTGTGTAAGTGAGACGTTATCACTACAGAAACATCACATCGTTTAAACATAGGCACCGGACTTGAATCATAGTCGATTGTACGATTACGGCTATATCATGAGCATGTGTTTATGAAACCCTATCAAATAGTAATGATACCGACCCCAGAAGATCCGGGGTGGAATAGTTCTTCAGCAACCCACGCTTGCTGTAAAAAAACGACTCTGCTTGTCGGAAGAGGCGACTAAAGGGATCGGGTGGTCTGGCTCGCTGACTTGGTAGATGCACGTCATTGATCCCAATTGCGTGAATCGATGCTCACGATGTCAATCTCTGGATTGTATGGTCCAGACTCGATTATTTACAGACAACCGTCATATAGCTGGAATATTGCTGAGTGCGGCGTAAAACAACGAAGAAAGAAAGAAAGAAAGAAAGTGATGATACCAGGTGTTCGCCCCACCGTAGGAACCCATCACAAACACATGTAAAGGCAAAACAAGTTTGAGAAATACAATAACGAGAAACATAATTTTTGTTTGGCAGTTTCTGTAAGAAGTTTGTAAAGCTGTTTATTACAAAGAAGACACAATCTATGTATAACAACTTTTGTAATTACTGTAAATGCGACGTTTCGGTACATATCCTCACACAGTTGTCAAGCAAGGCAAACGACGGTATAAGGATCTATACCGAAACGTCGCTTTACAGTAATTAAAGCAGTTATCCATAAACTGTGTCTACTTTGTCACCCGTCAACTTCTATGTAATGCCTATCAAACAATTCAAGCTGTTTATTATTAAAAGCCGTAAGGGATATGTTTGTTAGGTCTTAAACATTGACATATTTGTTTTCCGTACAACATGGAATACAAGAAGAGACATTGTTGCGTTGTCGCATTGTCGCCCTTTAAAAAAAAAAGCTACAATTGTCAAAATTAACCAAAGCGCGACAATACGACAACGCCACATTTTGGCCATCAGTCGCATTGTCGTTGTCGCGCTTTGGTAAAATAAAAAAGATTATTCAAAGCGCGACAATGTCCCTTCTAGTATTCCACAGTACAACATGATAATAGGAAAACGACAAACGGAAAACTGTGAACAAATCTATTTGATCAACCACATGATTTCCTGAACTGAATTTCTTAATTACAGGTGTATCTTGTATTTTCAGCCTTTGTTATATTTGTTTGTTTTCTTTTTGCTTCGTCAAGTTCAAGTAATTATATACAATATATGCTTCTACACACGGTCAAGCTGAAGTAATAGATTCAAGTTGCACAACACAATTTATCTTGATCCATATCGGCGAGACTCCCCGTGACTGGTGCATGCTGGGTAAATAGGGGGTTTATTCCTGGTTCACTTATCATTAACCCATCTCGAGGCGCACGGATTAAGAAAGGGTTTACACTTGTATTGAATCAAATAATGGCATAAAATTGACACTTTTCATCGTCCATGCTCTGGGTCGTTGATAGAGACAATTTCTCTTAAATCATTTACTGACCCTTTGGGTTGGGTCCCTTGACCCTCCTAATTCTGACCAGCCGTTCATTTCTTTTGTTGTTGTTGAATAATTATAAATTTAAAGAGAGTAGCCTCGAATGTCCTGTATCGCGGATCGCACAGTAGCCGTGCTCTTAAAGTTTAACGGGAATCGGTTTGTGCTTTAAAAGACGGACACTGCCGGTGAGTCTTCACACTCGGATCTCATCTTCAGACAGAAACACTTGTGGGAGTCAAGATGAAGGTAAGATGCAGTTGAACTGTCTTGCTTCTTATTTCAGTATTTCGTTTTGTGTCACAATGTTTAGGGTATCAGGACTCAATTGTAACCATTTCTAAATATCACAGGAAACTGCTCTAATATATCTTGAGTTCGCTTCTCCTGTGAAATATTGCAGATTCCTTTTATCAAAAGATTCTTATTCAATACATACTAGCTTATAACATCTGACCACAATCGGTTTTTAAAAACCCAGAAGTAACACATTTTTTCCATAAACCAATCTTGTCTCTATGAAGTTCGCTTCTGCTGTTTAATGTCGCAGATTCATTGTATCAAGGTTTTCCTATTCTTAACATAGAGCCGTTACGCTAAATACGTGTAAAAAGGCTAAATTAACTCGTTCGTTCATATGTTGTCTTTTATGTAGAACATTCAACTACCTTCGTTTTTCTGTAAACAAAAACTTCAACCCCTTTTCCACAAACCCATCTTGTGAGTTGACAAGTGTGTTTGTTTAAACAATGTACTCACTCTTAACCACTGTTTGTGTCATCCAGTCATTCGTAAATAATAAACCCTCTCTAAACCGGCTTCTCTGAAAGAAATAAACCCTTTCTACACAGGATTAACCCGTCACTCTGTACAACGACCTCTCTGTAATCCGTTACTGTCTATAATACGCCCCTCTTTACACCGGTCTGTGACCCCCTGTGACCCCCACTGTGCAACCCGTTACTCTCTCTTCGACAACCCCTGTGTTAAACAACACGCTCTCTACAACCGCTTCGGTGTAACCACACTCTCTTTCTACAACGACCTCTCTGTAACCCAACATACTCTCCCACCTCCGTGTTAGAAGCCTATCCCCTCAATAACTGCATCTTTGTAAACAGAAATCTATTGCAAGTCTTGAGATACACATAGATCTACAACGCACCACTTATCTCAAAATAACGAGTTTGTATGAATGTGATATACAGTTTAAGCCAACTTCAGTATTGAAAATCACCGTAAAATGTAATATTTTATAAAACAAAATAATTGGAATTTTAAAACGTGTATTTCAATATCGGACGCAGTTTCCATATGTTCTAGTTTTGTCAACATTGATTACGTCAGGATGACGAAATAAGCAATGGCACGTTTCGTAAACATGTTAGCTGAATATCGATATGGTAGTTTAATGCGATGTAGGTGAAGCAGGTGTGTGTATCCTCATTTTTTACTGTTTTCAGTGTCTCTCTCTTGCCGTCATCGCCATCTGTGTGGCTGCTGCCGCATGCGACTTCTTCGACAACAATGGTGCCGCCGCCAACAACGGCCACCTGTCAGCCGGCGTTGACAACTACGGGAAGGGACAGTACGCCAACCAGAACACTGACCAAAAATACAACAGATACGACAACGCCGCCAACACATACAACAAAGCCGCCAACAACTACGCCAACCACGGCAACCACTACTACAAAGCAGCTGATCAGGCCGGCGTCCAGGGAGACGCTGCCTCCAACTACTACGGCAACAAGGCCGCCGCCCACGCCAATAACGCTTACGGCGATGCCGCCCACGACAACAAAGCCAACTACCACGACGCCGCCGCCAAACACTACGCCAGGAAAGACAACGCCGCCAGAGCTGGCTCTAACAACAACCACGCCAATAACAACTACTACAACAAGGGTGACGTCTTCAACACCGGCGTCAACTACGGCTTTGACAAGAAATACAACAAGAACTCAAACGAGGATGGCGACTATGAAGTCCTTGACACAAGCAGCGCTCACAATCTCGCCGACTACCGTGATCACAGCGGAGCCGCCAACTACGCCAACCGCGACCACGCCAACAGGAAATACGCCGCCGATGCCGCACACGCTCTGAAGGACAGTAAGTACGGACATGGCGCTGCCGCAAATCAATACGGAAACGGTAAATATGGCGCTGCCACCAGTCACGCTGCCAACAACGGTGCTGCCAACCACGCCACAGCTGCCAAATTAAACGAAGCAGCTGGAAGCAACAAGTACTACGACAACGCTCATGACGCTTCTAAAGATCAGTACGACAACTTCGCTAACAAGAATGCCTTCTACGACAGAAAAAACGCTGCTAACGCCGCCGCACAGGCCGCTCACAACCTCGCCGGCCACGGCACCCACGGCGTCTACGGAACTCGCGGATTCTCAGGCGTCGGAGGCGTTGGAGGCGTTGGAGGCGTCGGTAAAGGAAACGGCTACGGTAACGGCTACGGTCATGGTAACGGCTACGGTCAGCAATACGGTCAGCAATACGGTCAGCATGGTCAACAATACGGTCAGCAGGGACATGGTCTGTACGATAACGCCGCTCAAGGTCAGCACTCCAACCATTATGATTCAGCCGCCAATGCTGCCAATGTTAGAAATGGTAAATACGGATCTCACCTGAATGACTACCAGAGAAACAATGCCGGCGCTGCCTACCACAAGAACGGCTACAACAACGCTCAAGGCAATGACTACTACAAATCCGGTGCTGCTGCTGACAAGAACAACGCCTACAGGTCCAACACCGACGCTGCAGCTTCCGACAGACACGGGTACGACCACGCCGGTGCCGATGCTGCCAGCCTTTATAATGCCAAAGCTGCTGCCGCCGACAGTGTCAACTCTGCCAACGCCAAGGACAACTTCAGACGTAATTACAACGATGCTGCCAAGAAACACCATCTGGTCAAGAAGTTCCACCACCACAACAACGCCGGCGGCAACAACTACGAACGCCTCAACTACAACAGGAAGGACTACAAGGATAACTTCGCCAAGAACGCCAACGCTGCACACTCTAATGCCAACAAGTACTCTCAGAACTATTACAACGATGCTGCCAACGCAGCAGCCCACAACAACGACAAATATGCCGCCAACAACGCTGACAACGCCTACAAATACAATGACGCCGCTCAGGCCGCCAACGGCAATGCTGCTAAGAAATCTAACTACTACAAACAGAATGCTGCCAATGCTGCCGGAGCTAACAATAATGCCGCTGCTTCTAAATACAACGACTACAACAATGCTGCTGCTGCCCGCGCCAACGTCCTGAACAACTATGCCCACAACAAGTATGGATCCAATGCCCGTGCCTACAGTAACTCTCACGGCGCTGCCTCCAACCACGCCGCCGCCGCTCAACACGGTACCCCCTATAGCAACGGCTACGGTGTCGGACATGGAGTTGGTGTCGGTCACGGAGTTGGTGTCGGAAACGGTATTGGTGTCGGACATGGAGTTGGTGTCGGACATGGAGTTGGTGTCGGAAACGGTGTCGGAGGGTTCGGAGTTGGAAATGGCGTCGTGGGCGTTGGATTCGGCCGTGGGCTTGCTGGTGGTTTCGGAGGCGCCAAGGGTGGCTACCAGTACTATTAGACACTATCATAAGCCACAGGTTTATGGGATTCGTTGGGTTTATAGATGTTTTTTACCATTTTATACTGTTTGACACCGAAACTTGCAAATCCAGAAAATTGTGTGTTGTCTATCAATTTCTTTTGTAAATATACTTTCCAAGAAACTTTCACAAAAATTCGATTTATGATTCAAGAATTAGAAATTCGAGCTGAGCAAATCCATTAATATTGTTTCATCACCGTATCTCCTGCAGATTGCCAATCAGATGTTTCGACCCTTTAGACAAAGCGACTGCCACGTTGCATCTTTCGTGTATTTGTTGAGATTGGCTTATTTCAAGGAGTGCTGCTGATCACTCTGTCAGGTGTCGCCTTGTTTGTCCGAATAAATGATTCTTGAATATGCTCATATTTTTCTGTTTTATGTCACTTTATTTACAAGACCATTGATTTTTGTTGGTGTCTAATCTATAATAAGTAATTTGGGCGGCCATCTTGGATTTTCGTCACCACCAGGGGGAGCCGCATAATGGATTTGAATCATATACAGCACTGTTGCAATTAACCCTGAACTGATTACTGAATTTGACCAGATATTTATCATTTACTGAGCAAAGATTGACACCAGTAGAGACTTCAGCCAAATTGGCGGCCATCTTGGATTTTCTGCCACCAGGGGCCTTTAGTGAGCTTGATCCATATTCAGAAATGTTCCGAATGGATAAGTTTGGTGCTTTCTCAATATTCTCATAGTTTTCTGTTTTATGTCACTTTGCTTACAAGCCAATTGCTTTTTGTTGATTGATCTTCAATAACAACGATCTATTAATCCATACGTGCGAAATAATTAGCCGAGATTCTACAGTTGATTCAGCGAACATGCTGATCACCCGATCTTCTTTCGCCCTGTACAAGGATGAATGTTCGATACTATTTTACTTGATTATATGCAAAAATAACTGTCTTTATATGAATCCTATAAATAAATTGATAATTGGATATTGATAATAAAACTATTTTAGGGGTAGGATAAACACGGTATCCGTTGGGGTTGGAATGTGATGAATATTCAAATTAAAAAGGTCAGGTAGGTACTACTTTCATTGTTTACAAACAAACCTGGCGTTGCCCTAGTATTCCGGCGACTGAGTTAGAATAGATTCGGAAATAGTAAACAAATTACGGGAATAACAGATCACATTTCAATTAAGAAATAATTTGTGTAAAACAAGTTTCAACTGGAACTGTATTGAGTGAGTGAGTATGGTTTTACGCCGCTTGTTGCAATATTCCAGCAATATCACTGCGGGGGACACCAGAAATGGGCTTCACACATTGTATTCATGTCGGGTATCGAACGACCGAACGCTTTAACCACTAGGCCACTAGGCTACCCGACCGCCCCTGGAACTGTATTGAAGTTAAATATTTATGCGCACATTCCAGGTGAATGTACCGTTTGTGTACCGTTTATGTTCCATATTTGTACCGTTTTGTGCCGTTTTTTCGTCGATAGACTTTAAGAATGACATTATATAATAAAGAGGTTATCATGCATGTAAATTTCAAAATATCTTTTATTGGGTGAGGTGAGGTGAATTGGGGTTTCAAGATTATTGCACTTGTATAGCGACGTGCATGTACCGAGCGCCAGACAGGGTAACAACAAGAACCATCTTTTAACGTCTTTTGGTATGACGCGGCCGGGGATCGAACCCCGGACCTTCCGCTCTCCGGGCAGACGCTCTACCACTAGACCACGTAGGCGGTCCTTTTATTAGGAATAAACACCATGCATTTAGCTAATGGAGACTCGATAAATACACCATATATCCTGAATACAGGCTATGTTCCATCCCCTTGTAAGTTTTACCGTCATTATTATTAATGCTTTTAATGAGATTTTGATCACACTCATTCTCATATAACGGCCTTGTGACAATAGCCTTGCAATATTACGTGCATGTAAATTTCAAGGGTGAAAGGTCTGGTGTTTGAGTGGTTGCTGGAGACGCCATGATCATGACCTGTAGAACCGGCACACATAATGTCTACACGTGTGTCTCCGCAAACGACATACTAGTATTAGTATTTCAAAATCGTAACTACGTGAAAAATATTAATGTGATTTGGTGAGTGAGTAAGTTTGGGTTTAACGCCGCCTTGAACATTATACCAGCTTGTGGGAGGAATGCGTGAATTGATACATATCTGTGGTGAACCCCAAGAGCTCGGAAACGGTGCTGACAAAGAATTGTCATCATGGCGTATCTGGGATTCGAACCTTCGATCTGTTGATAAATACAAAGTGACTACAGCGCAAACATCTTTCACTTTATTTCGCAAAATAATACTGTGGAGCCTGCGCAGAAACTCCGCGGACATTTTTTTTAAATTCTGCGTATCTATGCGGTGACTACGCACACATTTTTGGAAATGTTCTGCGTATCTATGCGGTGACTACGCACACATTTTTGGAAATGTTATGCGTATCTATGCGGTGACTACGCACACATTTTTGGAAATGGTCCGCGTATCTATGCGGTGACTACGCACACATTTTTGTAAATGGTCCGCGTATCTATGCGGTGACTACGTACACATTTTTGTAAATGGTCTGCGTATCCATGCGGTGACTACGCACACATTTTTGTAAATGGTCTGCGTATCTATGCGGTGACTACGCACACATTTTTGTAAATGGTCTGCGTATCTATGCGGTGACTACGCACACATTTTTGCATGTGGTCTGCGTATCTATTCGGTGACTACGCACACATTTTTGTAAATGGTCTGCGTATCTATGCGGTGACTACGCACACATTTTTGCATGTGGTCTGCGTATCTATGCAAGGACTACACGGAACTACTACGGATTATCCGTGGATATTTGCGCAACAAATAGTCCCTTTCGTTGGGCTAATTAGTTTCCCGGTCCTTGGACGTCAGTAAAAACTTGTGAAGGATGACAAATTAAATCCCTTAACGTTCGATCATGATATATGATTAAGTATTGAATGTGTTTCGCTATTCATAAAATGTATTTTGACTCTATTATTAATGCCACAACGTTCCTGTTTGCATTTCATAACTAGGTCTTTAAAAGTTATTTTAATTATGGGTATAGCAGATTGAACGAGAACGAATGATGATTATAGAAACACATAAAGAATGTTTGTCAGTTTTATCAGCCACAATGTCTTATTTTTGTTTGTTTGTATTTGTTGTTTATCTCCGCACTCAGCAATATTCCGGCTATATGGCGGCGGTATGTAATTAATCGAGTCTGGACAAGACAATCCAGTGATTGATATCATGAGCATCGCTCTACATAACATGCATCAACCAAGTCATCGTGCCCGATATTAATAGAGTGAGGTTCATATGAAGGACATATGAAGCATACATGAACGTTATGTGTTTTTTATAGTAATGTGAGTAAGTGAGTATGTTTTTACGCCGCATTTAGTAATATTCCAGCAATATCACGGCGGGGAACACCAGAAATGGGCTTCACACATTGTACCCATCTTGTTTTGTACTTCGGTAATATTAAACATTTCTTCTTTCAATTTACACTGAGGGGCAGAGTTGCGTCCCTTGGGCACGCAAGAAACCTAAGATTGTGGGTTGGAATCCCGGTTCGCCCCGATTATGTTTCTAGGTTTGTCAGCATCATAAACCGTGTTCGTGGGTTTCAACAAAGTGATATACGTCTGAGACATGCATAAGCCGGGCTTTCCTCCCACATTAAGCTAACACGCCGTGATATAACTGGAATAGTTCTAAATTCGGTTAGACTCAACTCACTATTTATACTGCCCACCGCATCCTACAAATTATACATTAGGGGGAATAAGTGGCGAAATCACTGGACCAGAAGTAAGTGTGTACTAAACGGGTAGGCAGTATGAACATATAGACAGATATAGTTTATTATATATACTATTGGAGGCTAACAACATACACTGCAACTCGCCTGAGAGGTAACCTCTCATCGGTTAGACACCCGTAATAGTTAGACAGCTTAAACAACTCAATTTATGGTTGAGTGAACAGCAACTCAACATACTGTTACCTCAAGATGATTATGGGATATTCAAGTTGATGATAAACAAAGACAGGGTTGAATATTAACGTTATGTATTTTAATGCTATGCAACTTTTCTGTGAAGGATTTTATTTGGATTTTACAACGTTGCACGATTTATAAACATGGATGCAAACATTCTACATGTGAGTCTAGTAACAAGGCGAAGTAGGTGGCCAACAGCATCCATGTACTCGAGTGGTTTCTTCTATGCTTGTTGAAGTTGCTTCTTTAGTCGAGCAAGGCGGTTTTCAATTTCTCGGGACATTACTTTGCGGTTTGGTGGTGCAGCTCCAAAGTTCAGCTGCACAAAGTTGGCACTTTCACGGAATCAGTTTTTTTATCACTTGAATTAGAGTGAGTGAGTGAGTTGGGTTTAACTCCGCTTTTAACAGTATTCCAGTTATATCGCGACGTGTCAGCTTAATGTGGGAGGAAAGCCCGAAGTGATGCAGGTCTTAGACGTTACCACTTCGGTGAAACCCACGAGCACGGGTATAGTGCTGACAAACCTAGAAACATAATTGTGGCGAACCGGGATTCGAACACACAATCATAGGTTTCTTGCGTGCCCAAGGGACGCAACTCTGCACAGCGAATCGCGGCGCCTTAGACGACTGGGCCACCCGTGCCCCCGACTTGAGTTTGATAGATAGGTCGATGGCGGAAAGGCAAGGAACGGTTCAAACATTTTTTCCAAACCCAAAGTTCGAAAATGAGATTCGATATGAAGAATGCGCTAAACGAGTCTCTCAAAACGCTATTTTCCCCTATCGGCTACATAATCACAGTCACTAGGTTTTGTCTACATATGCGGTAATCAGAACAGCTAGCGTAGTACATAAACACCCCCAGTTTTGTAGCACTCCAGTTGTGCTTGAAACCGTAATGTGATTGGATATCTGCACATAAACCTTAATCACAGTACATCCCTCTGAGTAGTCAGCTCTCATTAGGACTGTCCCATTACAGCTGTGGTTATTATCCTAATTAAACCCCAAACTCACTGTCTGATAACTGACGGTCTCACTAATGTCTGTCTCACTAATGGAATATTACACCTGTGGAATCTCGGCTAATTATTGCGTTAGTATGTATTGATAGTAGGGCGGTTAAGGCTGGAATTTGTCAAAATTGTGCACTTTGGGTTAAAAGAACCAAACTTGGCACGCTTATACAATGAACCATTCCAGACATTTCTAGATATGGATCTAGCTCACCAGAGCCCCCTGGTGGCAGAGAATCCAAGATGGCCGTCACTTTGCCTGAAGTCTCAACATATGTCAACCTGTGCTCA